TATATACTGAATCTATCTAATGATAATGAATGCATGGTTATATATCCAGCTCTTCAGTATGAATATATTGAATAGCAACATATTCAAGTTATCCTACTAGCTCTGAATAGCACATATCCAAAGCTATTCTTTCTGATTAGCTGTGCTTATAATCCTAATTCTGGATTATGTAATCAATATTTTGTTAGAATATTGGATTCTTGATATCTGGTTCTTATTACTTGTGATTTATTTCGTAACTTATATATTAAATAAGTTATAATATTATCTCTCTTTTATTAGTTGTTATTCTTAACAATCTTTTGTAAGTATTCCAGCAAGTCTTCCGTATGCATGATCTTGCCTTTCTAATCGAGATGTTGAACAGAATTAACAAATCTTATTCTCGTGCTGAGAAGACTAAACAAAAGGATTTCTTCCTTTCCTTACAAACGCTGTTACTATGCCTTCCTGTTCTTTCTGCAAGAGCTGTGATATTCAGTTTTGTTAAATCTCTATCGAGGATTCCTCCTATTGCGCCGAATGTATTCGCCTGAGCTGCTTCCGGTGCGATGTTCAAGGGTTGAGCGCAGCGGAAATTCGTTGAATAAGCATCCAATACTAATGCTTGGAGGACCAACTCGAAAGTGCTGAGAGGCAGCTGCATAATGCTGCTGCGAAGGTGGAACGTTTGCGAAAGCAGAAACGTCTGTAGTTCGAGAAGATGATGAAGGCTATTCGTTGAAGCTTTTCCAGCGTAGAGGAGTTAGAGCGTAAGAAGGCTGAGGAGAAGCGAGCTCGTATTGCTGCTGGAATTCGTTCTGTAGTTGCAGAGAAGTCTGCTGCTGTTGCTGAAGATTCTTCTTTTGAGAGTTTCGACTGGAATTCCGTGGATATAGGGAATTCAGTAGTAAACTGATTGGATTTTCTGGAGAGTGAGATCTCTGAAGCTTCTGGGTTTCGGTTCGGAGCGGAGCGATTGTTCTAAGTGCTAGCTTCCTTTCTTTTCCAATACTCAGCTATTTTCTCTTGAGTATTCTTAATATTTCTCTATAGTTTCTACGAATTTTCACTTGCTGAGTATTCTCTTTACTTAATAAGATATTCTCTTGTGCTATCTGTACTTCTGTACTTAAGGATCTTCTCTATTTCATACTTTGGTTTATTATTTTCTACTTCTGCTATATTGTTTGCTAGTATTTCCTATGCTGCTAATTTCAGCAGTAAGATATGAAAAATCAGATATATTCTTATTTTATAAGATAATACTAACTTGTAATTAATTAGGGAAATCTGTTGCAAGATTTTGAATAGTTCTAACTTCTTGTAATCGAGTTTGTTGCTAGATCTGATTATTTTGATGTTTTTTTTTCAAAATAGATAGATTTTATTTCTCTTCTGTAGGATTGGTTTCTCAATTCTTTTGGAGTTTGTATATTATATTATTCGTTCTTGAACAAATTGTAATTCTAACTGAAATTCCTTCTAAATCTTCTTAATTCTCTTAACTCTTTTATCTACAGCTTCTACATCTGCTCTTAGCAGTGCCTTGTAATAAGCTGTTGAATTATATCTGTAGAGTATAAAGAATAGCAACTTCTTTATTATGCTTATATCTGCACTATTATAAGCAAACTGTATAAGAAATAACAGATTAATCCAATTATTCTGTTTCTAGTTAATATAGTATTAAAAATACTATTTAATAATCTGATTTATTCTTTTCATCTATTTATCTGTTTACAAATGAAATGCTATAGATATTCTGTAGTATATTCTGAGCTGTTTTATAAGCAAAGTTCAAAATTTTGAATTGAATTTCCTATCTCTATCGGAGATTACTTTTTGTCAGGGTAAAAAGGGCACACAAGTGAGGTGAAGGGGTGTGAGCTGCTCCCAAGCCGCTCTGTTGATGCTTCCATTCAAAGGGACTACTGAACCTATCTCCCTCCTCCTCTTTTTCGCTGCTGGACCTGTTGTTCCCCTTTCCCTTATGTACACAATTGGCCTGGACTAGATGGGATGACAATGGCCTGATGGCCACGCGGTATCGTACGAGAGCGCTGCTTCGGAGCGAAGCCCTCGCAGCAGCCCTGGACCGCCACCAGGGGTCGCAAGGGCCACCTATTTCCTTTGTGCGCATACAAGCCCTGACACTAGGGCGTTCGTTAAACTGAAGAGCATGATCAAGTATTCATAGTATCCGTAGCATATTCTAAAAGCAGTTTTCCATTCCTCTTCTTTCTTTACTCTGATCAGATTGTAAGCTTCTTTTAGATTCAGAGCTGTAAACTACTGTGCTTCTTGCAATCTATCTTGTAGTTTCTTGATGAGAAGCAATGAATATCGGTTTTTGATTGTAATGTTATTAAGTTGCTTGTAATCAATACATAGCCTGAGCTTGCTGTTTTTCTTGAATACAAATAGAATGAGATATTCTGCTGATAATTGCAATGATTGTATATATTCCTTTTTAAGATTCTCGTCGAGATACTCCCTGAGTATCTCTAATCATGCTTTGTTTAGTCTGTAGATAGGGAAGAATTTGGATTATTTCCCTTTTTGTAGCGGGATCTTATGGTTGTATAAGCTGTATTCTGGCAATTCTGTATTCAATCCTTTCTGGAATAGTTTCTTGAACTTGTGATATTCTCGTGATATACTTGCGAGTGTTGGTTCTGGTCTATGTGCTGTTTCTGCTACCTGAAGGAACAGTAGGTACTGTTGAGCGTGCTTCTTTTCGTTCGTTGTTTTTGAGGGCTTTGAGCATTCGCTCCGGGCCGGACCGAGCGCTCGAGGGCCTGGTTTCGAGGTTTTTCCTGTATGAGTTCACAATCCACTTTCTAAAGCTTTTCCTTGTTGCTCCGGAGCGGACTAACGTGCTGAGGGTCTCGCTTCCGTTATTTTGTTAACTTATTAGCGCTCTGATACTGTTTAGGTTCGCTTATCACTAGATTCTTCTTCTTGAACTGCTAGCCCTGCTGACTTGAAAGTATATATAAAGTTGTATAAAGCCTCTTTTCCTGAGTATTCTCCAACCACTAGCTTCGATCCTTTATTGTTAATTGCAACTATCTCTCTGAGTATGGCTTGTTCTCATGAGATCTGGCTAGTAGTTCAATCAATTCAAGGATTATGCTTCTTGAGCTATAAAAGTCTCATAATCAGCTCATATTGTGCTATATCCGTGATATCAAAAGAAACTCTGATTGCATATTCTTGGATTGAGATAGGTAGATGATTAGTTTCCTTGTTGATTACTCCTTAGTTGTATACAATAGGTTGTTCTTCTATAGTGCTGAGAATGTATGGTTGCTTTTTTCATTTCCACTGTAGTTATGCCTGATTGATGATGTATGGGGATATGAAGTTTCCCTGAGCGCTGCTATTCAATAGTGCGCTATACTTGTATTCTTGAATGTATATATCGAACTTGATGTAAGCATAATCTGCTTTAAAAGCTCTATATAGGAACTGTTCTAGTCTGATTATCTGCAGTTTCTTTACAAGCGATCTTGTTCTTTTGAGTTTGTTAAAAGCTGCTTGTCTTTCTTCTAAGCTTGCTTCGCTGCTTCTTAAGCAAGCTTTTTGGCCTGCTTTTGCTCGTATCGTTATTATTCCTAATCTTTTCTCTGTTGATGCTAGTTGCGAATCTTATTGTTGATATGAATCGTATAAAGCATTGTCTTGCATTGCTACTACTCTATTTTTTTATCCACGCATTGCCTGGGGCAGTTATCTGATAGTCCGATGTATGCATTATAGTGCTGCCTGTTGAAAACCTCTTTGAAGCGGAGTTCCTGTTCTTCAACAGTCTGAAGGATTTGTTCTGGTTCTCTGATGGAGAACCATTTGTATTGCACTTTCTCTGAGAAATGCATTCTGCAGCTATAATAGGCATAGGAGATCCATGCTAGCTCGTGGTATAGATTGTGAAGTAGGCTGATCCGAGGATCTTTGTTTTGTTGTATCTCGATGTTTTGCAAGAGGATGCAGGTGAAGAGCTTTTCTAGCTCTATTCTATAGATAAGATATTTAATTTATATTATTTCCTTATTCTATTCAATACTGAAGGGAAATCTTTCTGTAAGCTTCTTGAGTTTATTGTTTATGAGAAACTCTGGTGAACTGCTAGATTGTCTGTCTTAGCTGGTTTCTTCTGTTGCTTGTGAAGCATTCTTAGTGTTGTTCAGGTGCTTATATTAATAGCTGAAAGGATACTATTCTCTATTCATATCCCTGGTTGTAGTGCTTAGCATAGATAATGAAGAATGTTGAAGAGTATTGTTGCTAAGTTCTTCTTCCAATGCTTGAATGCTTTGTTCAGCAATATTGGAGCAGTTCAACTCGTTGCTGCTCGTAGTTGTATTAAGCATATGTATTCGCTCTGCTGTTGCTATCTGCCTGCAGCGCTTAGATTTCTGGGAAAACTATTCTGAATCTTTCTTGCTCGAGAGATATATTAAGCAGTTGTTGTTATAGCAGAATATTCAGCTGAAACTTTCATGATTAACAGAGTTCGATACTTGCTCTAAGGGGATGTTTTTGCTTAGTTGATTGGATTTCTGTTGCTAAGCAATATTCACTTAGCATTCCTTCTGAACTGGTTGCTATTTGTTCTTTTGTGATTAATAGCAGTTGTATGCAATGTGTTTCTGTTTGTTGCAGTTGTAGCAAGTAATACTGTTCTTCTTGCTATACTGCTTGTTGGCGGCGTTGAGCTTCATGGAACTGGTATACGTAGTACTGCTCTGAGCTGTACTGCTATATTGACTGCTATTTTTGTTTTGGAGTTTCTTGCTTGTATTAGCTAGAAATCTCTAAGTCTAGCTTCCTTCCTTTTTAGACTTCTTTATTCGTTATTTGTATAAACAGTTATTGATACAGATTGCTTGATTAGAAAACGTTGCAAAGTTCTCTAGCCAATCCTGCTTAGAGATCTCGTTCTTAATATCATCCTTGAATCCTTTATAATAATATTCCATAAGATTCTTGTCTTCCTATAGAAGTCTCGCTGATAACTATTTAAATCTAACTGTATAAGCAGAGGCTGACTTGGTTTGTTTGAGATTCATAAGCTGCTGAGCTGTAATACATTCCTCATTAGGATTATTAAAGGTTTTCTTAAAAGCTTTCTCAAAGCCTTCAAAGAAATCAAACATGTTCTTAGTATCCTGGATGCATGCATCGGATTTATTCTAATACTTTAAATAGTTGCATAAAGAGGGTTTGTACTAGATAAGAGTATTCTTTTCGAAGCGAGTTTCTGCAAGAATAACTTTCTCGGACTTCATAGCAAACTGGATTGTATAGTATAGAAAGTATGCTCTGCAGTGAGTAAGGAATTCATATAGCATTTTCTGATTGCTATTATACATAGCAAGCTTGTTCATCTTGTATGCCTTTCCAGCACCGCTGGTAACCATAGAGATGAACTGCGCCTGTTGAGCCTGTTAAGCTAGCTAAGCCTGTTAGTTAGCGATGGTAGCGCTCTGAGCCTGCTGTTGTTCGCACAGATTCTGAATATGCTGGGTAAGCTGGTATATCTGATTGACCAGTTCTTCCTGAGTAGAAGCGCGCGAGGACGAAGGGATTTCTGGAGGAGCTATCGTATTCCGTATTGCTTAAGAGGTAACACTGAACCGTTCTTGAACAAGAATTATCAAAATGTAATGAGCACTGCAGCAATCCGAAGATTCCTAAGTATATGAAGGAGTTTATGCTAACAAGAGCGATGTTGAAGTATTAAGTTCTTGAATACAGAACTGTATAAGTCTTAATAAGCGATGCAAGTATTTACTGCTTTTGGAGCTACTCAGTATATAAGACTGAATACTTAGATTGATAACTGAAGAGCTATGTACCGAATTTATCTAATGGTAATGAACGTTTGCTTATATATTCAGCTCTTCAGTGTGGCTCGTTGGGATCGCTGGCGAGCTCAGCGATCCTCCCTCCTTCACAACCCTAACCCTGGGTTATGTAATCAATGTTTCGTCAGAGCGTTGGATTCTTGACACCTGGTCCTTGTTACTCGTGACCTGTTTTGTGACCTGCATGTTGGATGGGTCATAACATCAATGCTTACAAAGAACTGAATGCTGCCTTCAGGATTAAATCTTCGGAAAAGAATTTAGAATTAATAACTCCAGATGAATAAGATAATTATATCAAGGATATACATGGTGCGCCAGCATACGAATACCAGGGAATCAGAGCAATTTATAAATGTATTAAAAGATATTGAAATCTATTAAGCTTTAGAAAAAGGATTGAAGATATCCTATAACAATGCAATAGCTGTAGAAAGAATAAAGTAGAGAGATATAAGCCTTATAAACTACTGTACTCCTTACTAGTATTTACAACTATTTAATAATCTATTAATCTAAACTTTATTATCAAGCTATCTTTCTTATAAGAACTCTTAACTAAAGTGCAATATAATAGCATTCTAGTAGTAATTTGCAGATTAAGCAAGTATACTTATTTTCTTTTCTATAAGGAAAGCAGTATAGCAGAAGAACTTGCATATGCATTTCTTAGAATAATTATTGCTAATTATAGCATATCAGAAGAAGTAATTTCCAATAAAGATAGAAAGTTCAACTCAAAGTTTTGAATCTTGCTTATGAAACAGCTCAGAATATACTACAGAATATCCATAGTATTTCATCTACAAATAGATAAATAAACAGAAAGAATAAATCAAGTTATTAAATAATATCTTCAATACTATATTAATTAGGAATAGAATAACTGAATTAATCTGTTGCTTTTTGCATAATTCGCTTATAATAGCGCAGATATAAGCATAATAAAGAAGTTGCTATTCTTTATACTCTATAAATACAATTCAATAGCTTATTATGAAATACTGCTAGAAGCAGATATAAAAGCTGCAAATAAAAGAATTAAGAAGATTAAGAAGATTTAAGAAAAACTTCAATCAGAATTATAGTTCATTCAGAAATGAATGATATAGTATGCAAACTCCAAAAGAATTGAGAAACTAATTCTACAGAAGAGAGATAAGATCTATCTACTTCGGAAAAACATCAAAATAATCAGATTTAGCAACAAACTCGATTACAAGAAGTTGGAACTATTCAAAGTCTTATAACAGATCTTCCCAGTTAACTATGAATTAGCATTATCTTATGGAATGAGAATATACCCGGTTTTCCATATCTTACTGCTGGAATCAGCAGTATAGAAAGCACTAGTGAATAATATAGCAAAAGTGAAAAACAATGAGCCAGAGTATAAGATAGAGAAAATCCTTAAGCATAGAAGCATAGATAGTATAAGGGAATACCTCATTAAGTAAAAAGAATACTCAGCAAGCGAAAATTTATAAGAACCACAGAAAAACGTTAAAAACGCTTAGGAAAGAGTAGCTGAATATTGAAAAAGGAAGGAAACTAGCACCTAGAACGATCGCTCCGCCCCGGACCGAGATTCAGGAGTTTCAGTAATCTCGTTCTCCAACTCAGAACAAACCTCTCGAGCATCAGAAGAACCTCCATCACCCCCAACACCATTCACATCGCCTAAAAAGGAATAGTTCAACATACTATCAGGAGACCAGGAGGGCTCTCCTGAAGCTAAAGCAAAAAACCTCTCAGGAAGGGAACCAACAGGGATACAAGCCTGCTGCTCCTTCGCCAGCTCCTCCGCTTCCACACGATCAAGCTCCTCAATCGTATCCAGACCCCGATAAACAGCGCGCACCATTTTCTCGGCTCACAGCTTGCGCTGTTTCCGCAACCAGCGCACCTTAGCTATAGCACGCTCTAGCTCCTCCTCCGCATCATCAAGAGCAGCCTCAGCAGCAGAATGCTGAGCCACAATCTTTTCTACCTGCAATGGTAACAAGCTGTGCATATCACAATTCCCACGCTTATACTTAATACACTCTGTACAGCATAACGAATCCTCCTCAGAAATAAGGCAGCAAGCTTTGCGATCTCCGCAGAAAGAGCATATCAGCATCTCGATGCAACGAGAAAGAGCAATGAGCCAGAGGAAGATAGACTGTTCCGTCTTTTTGTAACGAGCTTTATCAATTCTGTTCATTATCCGAATTAGAAAGGCAAGATTATGCATGAAAGATTTGCTAGAATACTTATAGAAGATTGTTGAGGATAATGACTGATAGGAGGGAGATGATGTTATAACTCATTCAACATGCAGATTACAAAACAGATCACAAGCAACAGGGATCAGATATCATGATGCAACATCAGATAACCAACAAGGATTACATAACTCAGGATTAGGATTACAGGCTGTAACTAATCAGGAGAGAACCGGAGCAGTCAACGATCAGTCCTCACAGTTCAGGCAATGGATCGCAATAATCAATCACCAACTCTTGCAGTCCATACTGAAGAGCTGGATATATAAGGATGCGTTCTTCGCCATTAGATAGATTCAGTATATAGCTCTTCAGTTATCAATCTAAGTATTCAGTCTCATACACTGAGTAGCCCCAAAGGCAGTGAATACTTGCATCGCTTATTAAGACTTGTACGGTTCCGTATTCAAGGACTTAATACTCTGATACTGCTCTTGTTAGCATAAACTCTTCGTGTACTTAGGAATCTTCGGATTGCTGCAGTGCTCATTATACGAAGATTCAATTCTGAAAGCAGCATTCAGCTTCTTATGTACATTAATGAGATTTCCTGATTCATCTTGAGCAAAGATGTTCTATATATCTGAGAAATCTGCATCTCAATAGTCTGATTATCTACTAAGAGCATTTGCTTATCCGTTTTCTAAGCTTTTGCAGTATACAATTCTGAAGTTGAATTATAAGAGAAATTCTGCTCATCTAACTTATTGCTTATTCAAGACTTTAATTATTATGAATATAATCAGATTCTTATAATTCAAGTGAATTGTGATCAGATGCTGTATGCTGATAAGATAGTATTGCTACTCCTCGAAAGCCTTCACTATAGCTATGAGCTCCTGATCAGAGATTCCGTAGTTAACTTCTAAGCTGTTCAGCTTCTTCGAAAAGTTGCTTACAATCCTTAGATGCTCTTAGTTGTTTCGTTAACCAAGTTGTTCTTCGAGTATATACTCTAATGCATTAGTTTCAATTTCAAAGGGTTTGTAGAGATCTGCTTTATACAGAATTAGCTCTAAAGTAATGCATTTGATAATCTTATCGAAAGCTTCTTATTCTTTGGAAATTTATTCAAAGAATTATTCCTTCTTAGTGAGATTTGTAAGAGAATATGCGATTCAGCTGTAGTTCTTAATGAACTGCTTATAGAAGTTAATATATTCGAGAAAAGATTTAATATCTCTAATATTCTTGGGAATTAGCTAATTTCTAACAGCTTCTATCTTATCTTTTTGTAGCTTAATACATCCTAGCTTGATTGTAAATCCAAGATAGTCGATCTTTTGTATATGAAAGTGACTTTTTGCGGATTCTATAAGAAGTTTTGCATCTTAAAGCATTTGCAATACTATTTCTACATATTCCTTATATTCTTTCAGTATTCGAGAGTAAATAAGGATATTGTTGAGATATGCAATAATGAATTGATTCAGATGCTTGCATAGAATATAATTGATTATTTCTTGAAATGAAGCTAGAATATTCGTTAAACTGAAGAGTATAATCAAATATTTGTAATATCCGTAGCGTATTCTGAAAGCAGTTTTCCATTCTTCTCCTTTCTTTACTCTAATCAGATTATAAGCTCTTTTTAGATTTAGAATTGTAAACTACTATACTTCTTGCAGCTTATCTTATAGTTCTTTGATAAGTAGCAATGAATATCAGTTTTTGATTGTGATATTGTTGAATTGCCTATAGTCAATATATAATCTAAGCTTGCTATTCTTTTTGGGTATGAATAGAATAAGATATTCTGCTGATAATTGCAATGATTATATGTATTTCTTCTTAAGATTCTTATCAAGATATTCTCTGAGTGCTTCTAATTATACTTTATCTAGTTTATAGATAGGGAAGAATTTGGACTGTTTTTCTTCTTATAGTGGAATCTTGTAGTTATATAAGCTGTATTCTGGCAGTTTCGTATTCAATTCTTTCTGGAATAATTTCTTGAATTTGTAGTACTCTTGTGGTATGTTCGCGAGTATTGTGTGATGAGCACTGCAGTAATCCGAAGATTCCTAAGTACACGAA